CCCGGGGGGTACAAATCAAATTTTTATCATGTGAATTGTAAGATACCCGGGTACCTTATACGGCGTTTTACGGTAGCAATTTTAGTAACAAATTACACGTCATCAATAGTTTTCCTTAAAACCTCATGTAATTAATAAATTGTGTTAAATTTTCTTAAGAAATATCATAACTTTAAAATTAGTCTACAGAAGTTCGAAAATAAAAGTTATCAAGTTAATAATTTAAATAATAATAATAAAAAAACAACGTCGAACTTTGCGAATTGAGCAGTAAAGTATACTTTTAATACCTCTTACTATAAAGTAGATAGTGCTTCAACCTTTAACAGAACGACCTTTCCAGCGTGATGCAGCGTGATGTAACTTGAGTTTCTTGAAAAGACGTTCTCTACGAAGCTATTTATTAGTAAATCATTGTGTGATTGACTTTGTTTTTAAGTTTACTTATACCCGAAATTTCTCGTGTAACATAGATCATGTCTTCCCATGCTTAAATTTTAAATTCTTTTATTTGCCGTTGGCGTTCTACGTATTATTTAAATATGAAATTGAGTTAAACTTTAGTTTGAATTTAGTGCTACTACGTAGAAAAAAATGGGTTTGTTACGCCCACTCCGGGCTTTGCTTATTCGAAATCTTTAATGTCATCTGCTATTTTTTGAATAGAATTAAAGTTCAATTTAATACTCCGAAGCCATTTTTTTATATTAGATTGTTCAAAAAATTAAACGCCTAAACATAAAAGTAATAATAAATAGTTATTGTAGCATCCAATAACAGTTTTATTTGGCAGGAGAAATGAGAATTGAGAATACCGTGATCCGAAGGATCACCGGATGATCATTTTGGATGACAAGTATCTGGCTTTGAGTTTAACCTGGGCCCTGAAGGGACTCAGGTTGTCAAGCACATTAAATTCAAAGCTAGATACGCTGTTATTGGATGCGGAACGTCCAATAACTGATTTATTTTTCTTTTTCTGTTATAACATGAGTTTGTGTGAGTCTATTTGGCGTATAACAACCCATATTTACTATGAAAAAGAAGTATATTTATTTAAACACGGAAATATAATGATAAAAAAAAATTTTTTTTATGCCTATTTTTGTACTTTCTTAAAATATACTCGATACTTCATTATCTATGTTTCGTTTTGCTGAATTTACCAGATCGATCGTTAAATTGACTTGTGTGCAATCAACTAAGGTCAACGTTCGAGTATTTTCCCATAAAGTCTTTTTAGCTTCCGTAATAAAATGATATTGAGAATTGAGCTTTTAAAAGAAGTATTGTAAAATGTATAAAAAAATTTTATTTATCAACTGTGTAACCATATCGGAATCATCTACGAATTTGAACGGTCGCCGGTATTTTAATTTATCAGAAATGAATATAGTTACAGATATCAATATGTTACGCCAAATACGTCACTATCTACGTAGTGTTATATGTTATTTGATATTCTAAATGTCAGCAACTTTATTTTAAAATTATGTATTTTGATTGGTCAATTATCACGGGAAATCACTGTAGATCTACAAAAAATGACATTTTAATAGTTTCGACATAACGATAAAGTACGCCAAGAGCCAAATATTTTCGACACCAATGTATACTTCTCCTTCTGCTACGGAACGAGAGGACGACGAACCTGCCATCAAATCCCAAGCTTCAAAGCTGGAAGAATATTTTTTTCCAGCACATAGGCTTAAGTCTCGACTTGAAGGTAACGAAGCCACCAATTCTTTTTTTTTCAGTAACATTTAGGCGTTCTAAGAAATAAATGGTACTTTGATTTGTTGCCAAGTATTAAGTACGCGTAATGTGCTCGTGCTGCGACTTGTACCAATAAAAAAACTCCCACAAACTTTGGCGCTTGCTTATCATATTTTGCTCGCTTGGCGCTTTCGTTTAGTAGGATGCATTCTAGTTACAAATGAGTTATCACTGAATAATTACGAATTACATCAATCAAAATACCGTAGATGAAACGAAAGAACCCCTTGCTATTATCGCATGTGGATCTTTTTCTCCCATAACATATCTTCATTTACGGATATTCGGTGAGAAATATATACTTTCATAGGATATTTTGCGGTTTTGCGTTTTGTAAATTGATTGTATCTATTTACAACAATGACAATTTCTCAGAAATGGCAAAAGATTACATATCAGACAATACCCAATTTGAAATTATTGGCGGTTATTATTCCCCCGTATCGGATCATTATACAAAGGAGGGGCTAGCACCTTCTTTTCATAGAGTTCGTATGTGCGAACTTGCTGTCGAACGAACCTCCCAATGGTTAATGGTTGATGCTTGGGAAACTTTACAATCTGAATATACACGGACAGCTATAGTTATGGATCACTTTAACGAGGAAATTAATACTAAACGTGGTGGCATTAAAACATCAGATGGTAAGTAATTGGATTTAAAAATTTATTGATTTTTTGCAATAAGTTTTAATCACAAATCCTTCATTAAAATTTTTTGTGAAGGCAAGTCCCTGAAGGTCAAAATCATGCTTTTAGCTGGTGGCGATCTAATCGAATCGTTCAAGGTTCCAAAGCTTTGGTTGAATGAAGATGTATGATTCATATTAAGCGCATTAACATTACTTTTCTCTTAACTTATATGTTGAAACTTACAATGTCCAATTTCTTATTAGCTTCATCATATTTTAGCCGATTATGGAGTTCTCATAGTTGAAAGAACTGGGGCAGATGTGTGGGGTTTTTTACTATCACATGACATACTCTACCTGCATAGGGTATTTAATCCTTTTTTTTTCAATATACATATACATATGCCTAAAACGAGGTATTATGTGGCGAATCGAATATCTCAAAAGAGAGGAACCGTATGGCATGAAAATCACTGGACTTGATCGCAGAGTCGCGAGATATTCAATCGCCTTCGTCATTAATGTTATATCTTTAATATACCAACCATCATTCATGCATACGCGTATATATATTTTTTTAATAGAAAAACGTCTACGTAATCAAGCAATTGATTTATAATGATATCAGTTCTACGAAAGTTCGGTACGAAGTTCAATCAATTTCTATTATATGCTTTGAATCACCTAAGGATTCTCACTAATCATTGTTTGTGTCATAGTCTGTTCGTGAAACGCGGCATGTCCATAAAATATTTACTTCCTAATGCGGTAATCAAGTACATTAATGCGAATGGACTGTACAAGTAATACCCGGACATTTAATTGGATCCGGATTCATAGATAGGTTATCAATTATTATATCTAATTCGGTTTATACCCGATTTATATTCTCTATTTGACTAGTTTATGGTGCATTTTTATTTAATAAACGAATATACATAATGAATCTCATGCTTACTAACTGGTTAATGTAGTCTATGTAATCGAATGGAAAAGTTCTGTACATGTGATCCTGGTTATAATGATAACATTGACCGAGAAATTAATAGAAAATTAAAAAGTCGTCACCAAACTACTGTTATATGTGATAAAGATTTTAAATATCGTTACAGAAATTATATTGTTATATCCTAAGATCATTGTATTTAAAACACTAAAAATAATATTGAATCACCATACAATGATACCTTTCTTACAATTAAATTTGCGTAACAGCATCAATATTATAACACATGTTATGTTTCAAAGCAATAGTACACGTTAATGGATTCTATTCTAATGCAACAATCGGTGCTATAGCTGACAATTTAGAAGAGCCGCTAAGTGAAGTTAGGAATTTCGGTATAAATTTTTTACACAACAGAATGCGGACTTCTTAATCTATTTTGAACACGTGCTATTATAACTTGTATCTAAAATTAACGTTAATTAATGCATGCAAGATCCAACTCTAATTTAATTTTAGCCCATCATAAACTAATTATCGTTATGACTACTTGTTGGCTTAGTCCAATAAATAAAACCTGAAATCTCGTAGTCGGGTACATAGATGCGCGTGCACTTATTTGTGCGAGTGATACAAATGCAACAAGGGAAATTAGCCAATCGGAGAACGTAAAATGTTATTATCCCAGATCAGCCTGACACGTGAGCGAAGCGAAGGAAAACACGAAAAAAAAAACCCCCCGAAAAAAGAGAAAATACAAGAAACTGAGTGTTTAAATCTGTCTTGGGTCACTAATTAAAAGTGACGGAAATGAAATTTTACATATACAGATATAGGAAGTAAACGTTTATTTCTATAGCATCTAACTTCAGCGTTCTAACCCTAACTTTTTATTTTCACGAACTCTCACAAATAAGTATTCCCGTAGGCGCTACCATGTGGACCGGAAAATCTATGGACAGAACAACCCTAACGTCGCCCGGAATAGGTAGCCAGATTATTTTGCCGGCTTACATGTGATTTCGGATACTGATTGCCGGATAAATTATGAATTTTTTTATTCAAAGTTATAGCGAATAAATAAATAAAAATAATAATTAAAATAAGGCAGTTTATCTTAAATTCATAGAATCTTTACTCATTGTAAATAGCTTACTTTTTTGATACTAATTACAAATTAAATTAACATAGATAACAAATCTATGAATTCACGAATTTTAATGCATTGGTTAAAAGATCTTTATACATAATTAAGTTAATGTGAAATAAAAGATATGAGTAGCATTATGTAACTATAATTTATTTTAAATACTAAAATTGTATTTACTCGCTAAATTAGCAAGAATAAATAAGAAGCAGAATCGCGAACTTAAAGAGCTTATTTAAGCGATAGATCAAGATCTTTATACTCAACTGAATTACGTTAATAAAACAAAATCATATACATATATTCTCCAGAATCAATTCTAAGAACTGACTAACCGTTTCCTTAAAACAATATTTAACTTAAATATATTATCCAATTCTGAATTTCTAAATTTTTATTTCACTAATTCCCGGCCAAAATGCTCGTGTTTTAAGTTCGTTAATAATAATTTTTCGACATTGTACAAACGCCTTAGTCTTAATCTTTCTGTTTAACAACAGGAACTAAAATTGATATGAGCATCATTATGTAATGAAAAGAACTTCACACTCACAATAAATTAATGCGAACAAGTATATACTCACTCAATTAGCTAGATTAATGCAAATCAAATACGTAAATGCTCACTAACTTGAATCACTTATTTTAATTAATTAAAAAGTCTTTTTACGCTATCCAAATTAACACGAATAATAAGAGGCACTGAATAATTATATACAATTTTATCGATGTAACTAATTATCATGTTTGTTTGATTCGTTATTATATTTTATTGTTTAAACGAGTTGTTTTGCTTGTAAAAGTATGACGCTCTTTATTTTGTGAATTCAATACAGTAAATATTCTTGAAATCAAACGAAAGTCAAATTGAAAATCATAACGAAAGTCAAAACGGATGTCAAACCGAAAGTCAAAACGAAAGTCAAGACGAAAGGCAAGACGAAAGTCAAAATGAAAGAATCAAAGTTAAGGGTAGGGTGTACAAATTTCCAATTTCATATAAAATAGATTGTAGATCAACTTTGTGTAACGAATTTTATAT